AAAAAATTTCCACCACGATAAACCAGTACATGGTACTCAATATTAGTTTAACTTTTAAAGTTGCACTCAAAAGTTGCAAAAAAGGCAAATGCTGATAGTTATAGAGGATAGTCCTGTACATAGTATAATATTAGTGGAGTGAGAGTGGGCTCCTTTCACTGTCCCTCTCTCACAGGCACTTCTCCTCTCATTCACAGGCCACACTAACACACACTATCACTATACAGTCTATTCATTGATAACTGATACCAAACATATAGATCAATACTCCCTCAAATAGGACCCATAGCTCATAAGTACCCACTGGACCACTGAGTACTGGACCAACTGATCAACCAGACCAAGGAGGAATTAACAGGAACCAACAATATCAGGCCCGGCCACAAAAAGGAGAAGCAGGCGTAGTCAAAGTAGTTGAAGGTGTATTTAACATTATCAGTCATAATGTGCAATAATAATGGAGTTCTATTGTCACATTTCACACTCTTTCCTCCTTCAACTGCTACTCTCTCAGTGGATCAGTCCTCAACCAAAGGATCTCTTCTCTAAATAACTTACTAAATCATCTTGATCATAATAAGCAGCCATTCCTTCCGAAAATATAGATCCAGATGCTTCAGTAAATCGTTCCTAATACTAGCTAATGATCCCTTCCACTTGATGTGACTTGTTGTTTCTACTTGTTCTCTGGCTTTATAAAGAAAATAGAAATTAATTGGTGGGAGTGGTTTTAGTCACAGTAATGAATTATATTGCATGAGTGACTTAAATCCCACCAATAAAATGATACATACTAATACTAGTACAATGTATTATAGTGCCAATGTGTTAATATCAGGATATGTTTATACTGATATACATGATATGGTCCTTTAATCTTTATGTAATGTAGACTGGTTAGGTTTAAGAATATGACCAGAGACCATGGACCAGTAGAATGTTAGGAATGATCATGGACCATGCATGGTTTACTGTTAAGAATGTTAGTAATAATTAAACTATGGACACACAGCTAATAGTGAGTTGTTTTGTAAAATGTCAGCTCAGCCAAAGTGAGGCTTTGGAATGAGAATAATGTGCAAATTTGTTAGTTTAAGATTTGTTCCATTATTTTGTGATATTGTTCCAGCATCAGTATTCATGATCTTATTAACCTTGAGACTGAGTCCTGTTAGTCTAATAAATGACATAGATACCTCCACCTTACATTGTATGACCTATACTTATGAGCATTGGATGATAATTAGCTATAGGACACTGTTCTTTTTGTGTATTGTACATGTATTATTAGTACAGTCATTGATAACACACACTCACTGTATCTATCAGTGTATTTAATACAACTAACTAACTGTATGTACTGACTGTATTCTAATTACTGACTGATAGTATTTACATGTAATGTATTTCATTATTAATAATAGTAACACACCCTCACTGTATCTAAGGATGAACAGCAATACCATTAATAATGGTTGCTCTATTATTGAAGTATTTAATATTCTGTTAGAGCCCATCAGGAAATAATGCTACCGTCTATCAATAACAAGAGGACACAGTTTGAAGATAATGCTCAAACGCAAGATATACAAGCACTGTTAACAAAGAAATGAATGATTGTGAATGATAGTAGCAATAGGATTATTGTATGTGATGTGATGATACGAGTTGTAGCCAATATTTTGTGTGTGTGGTAGTTGTCAATATTATTGAAATAGTTAAATGGGACATGCAATTGTGAAGAGGGAGTGAATGACAATGTTCCACCAATAACCTTCCCAGGAGAATGAGACTAACAAAACTGAACTAGTAGCTAATATAACCAAATGATACAAATAAAGACAAAGGAGGAGCTAATAAGGATCAGTGAGGAAAGGACAATATGAATGGAATCATAGGCGGCTGCAGGATTTCACTGCAAGTAGGGCAAAGGTGTGGCTGAAAGTGGGAGTGGTCAAAATGTAGGTGTGGCCATGACCACACCCACATGTCTTGTTCTTGAGTTTTAAGACTGTTAAAACTTCTATTTCAGCATTTTGTGAAGAAATCAAGTTGAAAGAGGCTCTGAAATTCTCAATGAAGAGTTACTCTGCCATTCTTGTGTTCAAAAGGAGAAAATTCAGTACCTAAAATACCTCTATCAATATAGAGTATCAGTAGCTAGGTGATTTATTTAGCTGTTGAATGAGTCCTAGCTGACTATGATGATTAATAATGAAGCTGCTATATGAAAGAGTCAGTTATTCTAGCTGCAGGTTACTGTAGATTATGCCTTCCTGAAGTGACCATAGATATGGACCTATGAAGCTTACTGTGTTGAACCATGCAGTTAGCAGCTATTCTCTACTAATTATCACTTTGTTGAGCAAAATAATATAGTTTGTCATTAAAATAGCTATATTCCATGTAATAACTACTAAATAATTATTAATTAACTGCTAATTATGATGATGTCATCTTCCGGTAAGAAATTCTAGTAGGGCATTGCCCTCATTGCCTGCCCCT